GCTGACTCTCCAACCTTCATTTTCTTCTGCCGTCTGTCTATCTAAAGCATTGCTCGCATGTTGATTTCCTTCACCGAAACTGTAGGTATCCAATAGTGGACAAACGTCTTAATACTATGGCTACACCAGCCACTGGTTCACTCTTTTCCAAAGCCAATATCTCTGCTTAGCATCAGTTAGTCGCCATAGCCTCCATTTAACTCTGCGGATATCCGGAGCTCTGTGGGAGTCGCTTCCTTCTTACAATATTCATTCACTTGGAATGTTTGCTTCACAGCTCAGATGGTTTGCCGACCTATTATGTGCCACCGGTAGGATCCACTAGTTACTGAAGGCTTAGCCCAAACTCTATTGCTGGTCACTCTTCTCTCTCCTAGCGCGCCATTATCCGTCGTTCATCTTACTCGCCTCAATTTTTCTTGAAAATAGCTAGAAATTGTTGGCTCCATGTAGCCTACAAGGAGCCACTTCTTGACTCTCCAGCCTTCATTCTCTTCTGCCGTATGTCACTCTTAAACCTCGCTTGCCTGTTGACTTCTTCATCGAAACTGTAGGTATCCAGTAGTAGACAAACGTCTTAATACTATGACTGCACCAGCCACTGATTCATTCTTTTCTAGAGCCACTATCTCCGCTTAGCCACAGATAGTCGCCATAGCTTCCATCTAACTCTTCGGATATCAGGAGATCTGTAGGTGTAGCTCCATTCGTACAATGTTCATAATCTTGGATTGCTTGCGTCACAGCTCAGATGTTTTGTTGACCTATTATATGCCACCGTGTGATCCACTAGGAACTAGAGGCTTAATCCGAACTCCAATGCTTGCCATTCACCTCTCTCCTAGCGCGCCATTATCCATCGTTCATCTTACTCGCCTCAACGTTTCTTGACAATAGGTAGACATCGTTGGCTTCATGTAGCCTACAAATAGCCACTTCTTGACTCTCCAACCTTCATTTTCTTCTGCCGTATGTCTCTCTTAACCATTGCTCGTCTGTTGACTTCTTCATAGAAACTGTAGGTATCAAATAGTGGACAAACGTCTTAATACTATGGCTGCACCAGCAACTGATTCATTCCTTTCTAGAGCCACTATCTCCGCTGAGCCACAGCTAGTCGCCATAGCTTCCATCTAACTCTTCGGATATCCGGAGATCTGTAGGAGTAGCTCCATTCGTACAATGTTCATAATCTTGGATTGCTTGCGCCACAGCTCAGATGTTTTGTTGACCTAATATATGCCACCGTAGGATCCACTAGTAACCAAAGGCTTAATCCGAACTACAATGTTGGCTATTCATCTCTCTACTAGCGCGCCGTTACCGTACTCTGGTCAACTCTTCCTGGCAATAGCTAATCATTGTTGGCTCCATGTAGCTTACAGGTAGCCACACCCTGACTCTCCAACCCACAATTTCCTGTGCCGTCTGTCTCTCTTAAGTTTCCCTCGCATGTTGATTTCCTCACCGAAACTGTAGGTATCCCATAGTGGACAAACGTCTTAATACTATGGCTACACCAGCCACTGGTTCACTCTTTTCCAAAGGCAATTTCTCTGCTTAGCATCAGTTAGTCGCCATAGCCTCCATTTAACTCTGCGGGTATCCGGAGCTCTGTGGGAGTCGCTCCCTTCTTACAATATTCATTCACTTGGAATGTTTGCTTCACAGCTCAGATGGTTTGCCGACCTATTATGTGCCACGGTAGGATCCACTAGTTACTTAAGGCTTAGCCCAAACTCTATTGCTGGTCACTCTTCTCTCTCCTAGCGCGCCATTATCCGTCGTTCATCTTACTCGCCTCAATTTTTCTTGAAAATAACTAGAAATTTTTGGCTCCATGTAGCCTACAAGGAGCCACTTCTTGACTCTCCAGCCTTCATTCTCTTCTGCCGTATGTCACACTTAACCCTCGCTTGCCTGTTGACTTCTTCATCGAAACTGTAGGTATCCAGTAGTAGACAAACGTCTTAATACTATGACTGCACCAGCCACTGATTCATTCTTTTCTAGAGCCACTATCTCCGCTTAGCCACAGATAGTCGCCATAGCTTCCATCTAACTCTTCGGATATCAGGAGATCTGTAGGTGTAGCTCTATTCGTACAATGCTCATTCTCTTAGATTGCCTGCGTCACAACTCAGATGTTTTGTTGACCTATTATATGCTACCGTAGGATCCACTAGGAACTAGAGGCTTAATCCGAACTCCAATGCTTGCCATTCACCTCTCTCCTAGCGCGCCATTATCCATCGTTCATCTTACTCGCCTCAACGTTTCTTGACAATAGGTAGACATCGTTGGCTTCATGTAGCCTACAAATAGCCACTTCTTGAATTTCCAACCTTCAATTTCTTCTGCCGTATGTCTCTCTTAACCCTCGCTCGTCTGTTGACTTCTTCATCGAAACTGTAGGTATCAAATAGTGGACAAACGTCTTAATACTATGGCTACGCCAGCCACTGGTTCACTCTTTTCCAAAGCCAATATCTCTGCTTAGCATCAGTTAGTCGCCATAGCCTCCATTTAACTCTGCGGATATCCGGAGCTCTGTGGGAGTCGCTCCCTTCTTACAATATTCATTCACCTGGAATGTTTGCTTCACAGCTCAGATGGTTTGCCGACCTATTATGTGCCACGGTAGGATCCACTAGTTACTTAAGGCTTAGCCCAAACTCTATTGCTGGTCACTCTTCTCTCTCCTAGCGCGCCATTATCCGTCGTTCATCTTACTCGCCTCAATTTTTCTTGAAAATAGCTAGAAATTTTTGGTTCCATGTAGCCTACAAGGAGCCACTTCTTGACTCTCCAGCCTTCATTTTCTTCTGCCGTATGTCACTCTTAACCCTCGCTTGCCTGTTGACTTCTTCATCGAAACTGTAGTTATCCAGTAGTAGACAAACGTCTTAATACTATGGCTACAGCAGCCCCTGATTCATTCTTTCCTAGAGACACTTTCTCTGCTTACCAGCAGCTAGTCGCCATAGCTTCCACTTACCTCTGCAGATATCCGGTGCTCGCTCCCTCTTACAATGTTCATTCTCTTTGATTGTTTGCGTCACAGCGTAGCTGATCTGTTGACCTATCACTTACCTTCACTGGCCTATAGATACACTCATCGACCCTATAGGTAATCACTAGTGACAAAGCGTCCGATTGGAATAGCTGCATCTGGCGACTGAGTCATTCCTAGCGCCAACATCTGTCGGTCGTCATAAATTCGGCATTTCTCTTCAGAAGTAGCTAACGGCCATTTGCCCCATGCATATGCGATGATCCAGTGCTTGTTAGTAGCCACCCAGTATCTGAATAACCTCTACTCCTCTAGAATATCTGCATCCAGTCCCTCCGCTGCCCTGCCACCAATTGAGCTTTAAGACTTTCTCGCAGCAACCTATTTATTTTCGCTTATTATGCCCCCCTCTCGGATTACACTAACTACGAGCTGTTCATGCACCTGAGAATCACTACTAACATTCTTACCCTCTTTGCTCTATCCCCACGCAACTATCGACTCATATCAAACGGATAATCGTACTTTACTTACTGGTGCAACGCTGTTGTCCCTACGCAGGCGATAGCAATCCACCTATACGGCTAATGATTCTATAGGATACTCAAAAGACATTTTCAGCATAATTATTGTTGCACAGTTTACATGCTTTTGTCTCAAGCCCAAATGTTATAACACAAGACACTAATAATACTCAATTCCATGCCTGTTCTTGCGGTCTTCTCTCGGTTGTCTCCCACTTTCCCTTTTCTCTGAGGTCCGGGACATCTTGGAGATCTGGGATTGGACTGAGGAACAATTTTGCCTAAGACGGACGGAACAACCCACAAGGACTGACATGGAGGATGGTAAAACTCCGCAAGGACCAAGCTACAATCACCATAACCCTTGTCCAGTATGGAGAACTGGACATATCCTCATACTCCCAAACATTATACAACTGAAAAATCTGAACAGCGGAAAAATTGAACCTTTTGCTCACCTGTACATACAACAAGAAGAAAAATCGCGATGTCCCTCTCCTCCAGCGACACCAAAAAATCATGGCGACCCAGAGCAAAATACCCGTCCAACTAACAG